ATACGAGATATAATGAAGTTAAAGAAGAGCGAAGAAAGGCTGTATGCACTGATGTCAAAATATAAAAGAAAATGAGGAGGGGATTGAAGTGAGACTGAATAAATAGGCAACAGCTGATACTTCCAGCACATTATACATACAGTGTGAGTGTTAGGTTTTGAACGTGTTTGGGTTACTGTGAAAAGTTTAGATGTTACTAAACTGACTGACCTGATTTCTTCTTTTGTTAAATCTTACATATAATATTTTTCTTCAAATATATTAGACCAGACTTTGGGCTGTATCAAAAACACAGTTCAAGCGTAAAATCACACCCAGACTATTACTTCGGTGGTCTCCTAGCAGCCTTAATATAAAAAAGGAACATATTTTATCACAGTGTCAAGTTTTCATTTATCAGACACTTTTTTTTTAAAGTGTCATGCATTTGAGAAAATGTGGTACGACATGAACAGGGATCAGAAACAACATGAGTATGTGAGTATGTGCCACAAAACAGGACCTAATGTACGGATTACTCCATAATTTCCATAAAGATGTGACATTTTAACACGAGCACTGCAAAAGTCAAACATCCTTTAAAGAATACGACTCTAAACTTTTCCACGGTTGCGCAATTTACATAACATATTATATCTTTGATTAAGTTCTCCACCTTTTTTAGGCAATAATAAAAAATTGTTAGTTATGTAAGTTGTTTTACATTTATGAGTGTTTATGTGTCTGTGAAAAATTATTATTTTGTTTTCCATTATTTAGCACATTTTTATAAAATATTTAGAAATGCCATGATTTAATGTAAGATATAATTTTAATCGTGCAATACTCTGCCCTTACAACAAACTGTTTAATTCTGAATATAAGCTGAGCGCCTTGCTCACAATTTTAGAATAAATGCTCATGAATATAATAGATAATTATGAAAAAAGGTTTGATATGGTCAGTGTCTCTTCTGACTCATGTAATAGCCTTAGTTTTTTATTTCCAGATTTTGGAAGTCTCTCCTCTCTCCTGAAATATATTAATGCTAATTAGCAATACTAAGCATAGGCTTCAAACACATAAAAACATACTGTAGCATTCGTTATAAAAACCATAGTAACAAAAATGACCAAATCGTCACAGTCCTCAGTGTCACATCTCCATCACTGACCAATCAAAGTCGAGAGAAGGCGGGACTTCTGAAATCAACTTTGGAGGAAACAATGGCAGGGGCCCACACAGAGGAGAAGCAAACTGCACTGTTTTTTTTTTTTTTATAAAGAGTACAATTTTTAGGTCCAGATGCTACAGTATGACTTCTGTTATGCTTTCAGAGTATTTAAAATAGACCAAACAGGCTCTACTGAGGGAAGTGGACAACTTTCAACTTTCATAACCTCTCCACAGTCAGTGCTGGTGAGAAGTGCTCTGGTATGGAGGTAGAGGACTCTATCAGCACAAAAAACCCTTTCAGTGGACTCAGGCCCTGAGAGCTCTTGTTTGTCGTGCTGAATGGTACTTTTCTAAGGGTTACATTCAACTATATGGTGGTTTAAATTCTCTGTGAACGTGTTTATTGATAAACAGCTCAAATATACTGGTGTTAAAGTTGTGCACCAATAAAAATCTATCCAGCTTCGCATTCTTGATAAAAAAAGTAGGATTATTGGACTGTCCCCTGAGTGAAGACCCCTCAGACCTCTGCTGGAATGTAAAACAGGTGCTGCACAATTGGTTCCTCCACAGCGGGGCTGAAGGAAAAACAGCCGCCCCTGACAGACAGAGCATCACATTCTCCAGCCAACTGTGCCTCCAGATGATCCCTTATTTACACAGACAGACTTAAGGGATAACATACAGCATGCATGCAATATTTCTGTACGATCCTTTATGTTAAAGAGAAAAAAAACTGGTGATTAAATAGTCCTTGACTGCATATTTTCTTTTTGTTTCAGTGGATTTATTTTGAAATCATTTATATGTGTTTCCAATAGAGGGAAAATATGCTCATAAAAAAAGAAAAAACAATCTGATCTCTCTCCTTGACACCTTGTGCGTTCTTCAAGCAGTGATGGAACATCTGGCATGGATTTATACATTGAAACGTGGCAGGGGATTCAAAGAGAAGAGTTTTTAATTGAATCCACTCCAAGGCCTGTGAGACCAAAATGTCTTTCTGGCAGGAACCTTCAAATACATACTCATGTTGCTTTGTCATGTGACCTCTTTAGCAGACTGAAATAGTTTTCCTCTCGTTTGTAATTTGACTCCTGTCTCAAACTGAAATGGTCATTTTACTCACACAAAGATTGTTTTATGTAACAATCTCACACTGATGTAAAAAAAACAAAACACACAAATAAGCTATTATGGTAGTACCCCTCACCTCAGCTGTGGTTTTGGTTTGTCTGTAATTGTCTGCCTGCTGCCTCCCTTCCAGCACTCCAGCCCTGACCGTAGCACATACCGGCTCAACACTGAACCTACTGCTGTGCAACAATACACACATTCACAGCCCACAGACAGCAAATTGCTTCTCTCATTCCCCACCACGCCCTGCCTTCGTTCTCAGCCACCTGCAAAACAAACTGTGCTGGAAATTTCACTACAAATTACCCTGTGTCTGCCAAATCCCCCCGGGAGCAGAGGAAATCAAAACCCTGGATCTACCTGCCCCCCCACACACACACTCAGCTAGGCCTCACTTACAGGGATAGCTCAGGTTTGCTTATAATTTAAACAGCTCTATTTTCTATATTAGAAAAATGTATAAAATCTGTTATTTCTGTTAGACTCTTTTTAAAAGTTGTAAATCTTATCTTTAAGTTTTCATTGGCAGCAAAAGTGAAGTTTAACTTTAACAGAGGACTCTTTAACTTTTGCCAAAAAGCTGAGCTGAATTCTGAGCAGTGGAGGGGGTGGTGAAAAAACATCATCTACTTTTGTCAAGACCGTTCCGAGCCCATACTTCTGTGGGCTTCAGGTCAACATGACATCGTGAAACTAAGCCTCCTTTCTCACCAAGAAAGAGTGAAAGCTGAGACCTGTTTCGCTTCAGGGGAAAATCAAAGGAAGGCACATACCTTAGCAGTGAATAATGGTCAGCAGCATAAAGCCAACAGCTTCTGCATTGTAAGGGCCACAGCGCCTCCTGCTGACAGCTCTGCTGACCTGCAAGCAGACAGGAATGTCAGAGAAAGAAGGAGACAGACAAAGAGAGAAAGAGTGAGTCAGTGGCCGATGTGCCAGAGAGATGAGTGCTGAAAGCTCCTTGGAAAAAGGATTAGGGCTGTTTATGTTGGCCAAGTGGCGCGCTGCCAGCTGCTCAAGTGTGCAAACTTCTTAAAGCTGCAGAGCTTGGGCTCCTTGTGAATCTTTTCACTCTATTTACCCTCCACCCAGACTGGATGGATGGTTGTGCTTTGTTCAGAGGGGAAGCCCCCTCACCTTCAGCCCCCACTTTGATGCAAGCACGCTCTGCCTCCCAAAAACGGAGTTGGAGTCAAAACCAGTTAAAACCGGCTTTTCTGACACCATTAACCCCGACATACAGTGTGGGTCTAAAATATGGTTAGAGATGAGTTTATTTCATCTATAAAGAAAAGTGTAACTCAGCAAGGCTTCCTGAGCGTGTTGAAGTCATACAGTAAAGGTTAGGTCCAAGCAAATTTGCATTACAGGCAGCTAGAAACACCGTGTTTGGAGAACTAATGGTAGGAATCTGCTTACATTTAGGAAAACGGTACTCTACAGGAGCAGACTTGATATGGATTCATCAAATACAGAAAGGCAGGGAGTATCACAGTCCAGATTGGCGGTAGAAAAAAGTAAGGGGGGGGGGGGGGGGGCATGTATCAACAGTAGGATAAGACCCAGCCTGGGAGCTGGCAGCGAGCCAGAGCTCTGTGGCCTGGAGCTACATCAGAGCCGAGTTTGTGAGCTGCAGTTATGAGACGAGGGTCATGGAATAATAAAAGTCATAGAGGCTGCTGCAGCTGTGGAGTTAGAGTTAAACTTGTCTTTTAAAAAAAACAGAAAACACTAATAAAGCTTGTTTTCCTCTTACTGGTAGGCTGCAGAGCTGCTGCATAACCTGAAGACATCTTTCAAAATGCAACTGCAGCAAAAACGTTCAGGAGCTTCCTCTTATTTAAAACATAGGGAAGAAACTGTTTGGGTATACTGTCGAGATCAGAGTTCAGACCCCATCACAATAACCACCTGTTGGCCAAATCATGAGGGTACTGTAAGGGTTGTCGGTGCAGGTAAACCTTGATCTCTGCAAAAAGAAAGACACTAAAGTTCATTTAAAAGAAGTGATACTGTCAGAGTTCTTAATGGATTCAAAAATGTCAACATGACGCTCACCTGAATGAGTGAAGAGGCTGAAACCCTGTGATGACCATCAAGTTTGAAGACTGGCCTTCTTCCAGTGCCATTCAAGCAACTTCAGAAAAACAAATGCAGCATTTTTAACACATTTCTAAATTTCATCACACTGAAGTTTTTCCCATAACAATAAGGTGAGAATGTGTAACAAGAATTGGTCTACTTAAAACAAGACAACCACTTTTAGATCAGTGACAGGATGTTTGATTAATACACTGTATTATGGACTGCTCACTGACCACAAAGCAAGCTCAGGAACTCTCCAAACTGCTGCAGCCATCATTCTTGGTAACTTAAACCCCTGTCATGTGAATATGACAGCAGTGAAATAAAACTCCTGCTTCTTTCAAGTCATGATCAGCGGAACTCCAAAACAAATGTTTGAGACCATAAAATCATTCATCAGTGTTACACAGAAGAAGTTGAGTATTTCTTTGGTCTGACTTTATCCTTTCTAAAACAAACAAAAACATTAACACCACCAACATTGGAGCATGCCGCCATCTTCTGGCATCCCTAAGTACTGCACTTGATCAATTACTGCTGTAATTCCTCATTACATTGATCTATATTACGACAGATTTAATTCTATTCAGTCATGTTACAAACTTTTAAGTCAAACAGAGCAGTGCTGGAGAAACAAACTTGTACATTTATTGTCAATTTTCCATCCAAATTGTCGTACAAATTCACATAATTATTTGAAAATATGTCAATTAATATACCTGTCACAGTTTTACTGCATTTAACATTTCCTGGCTTAGAAAGTGCTTCAGATAGGCCATACAAGCTCACAGTAAGACAGAGTGTGTAATACTACAAAAAGTTTAAGGCACTTTGATTTATCTCATGGTTCATTTGAGGGACTTCTAAATAACTGTGCGTCATTTTGAAACACAAAAATCTTGTTTCAATGATTGCAAAATGTCAAATGAAAACATACAATCTAATTTAAATAAATTGTACCAAACATGTACTGTAAACACAGCTTTTCCTTTTACCTTTGTTTATAGACCTACAGAGCAGGTATGAAGTGCATGGCAATAACTTAACAGCAAACACAGACAAAAAATAAATAAATTAACAAGGCACACAAAAAATGCTCAAACTCGTGTCAAATACGGTTCAACATCACCAAGATTCAGAGAGACGACTACAGGAGATTTCTAACATCTTATGATTTGAAGCTCAAGTTTCAAAATATAAAACTTTATCCACAGATGTGATCGATTGTACCTGATGACTAACATTCATAGGATTGAAGTGGTGGTGTATTAATACTGATAACAGGCACTGGTAAAAAAAGGCACATCATTTTTAAGCCTTCACAAAAACATCTGCATAATCATTCAATGCTCGGGCCTGATTGATATGATAGCTGGCACATGAAGGTCTATCAAAGATGTATCTGTACCAAAGACCCTGCAACAGGTGCAAAACTGGTGTTTCATCTAAGTACAAAAACAAAAAAGGAAAAAAATACATTCCAGTTAAATATATTCTCTATAAAGGACGGCATATTCAAAGTGACTGATTTTATTTTAATTCTCTTAAGTTTGAATTTCTACAAAAAATCCTACAGAGATCAGGCTCAATTCAGGGCCTCAGATTTAGAAACCTGACATCATCTAAAGCTTTTCTAAGCAGAATTTTCCAAATAGCAGCTACATGTGAGCTATTGAGTCAAAATGTCGGTGTTGTTTCTTTGTGTAATAACAACAGAGAGCGATCTCTCATGCCTCAAACGTCACATTTATTGTGAATAATGTTCTTGCTGGTTGTAAGTAGCCATGCAGTGGTATTGCACTTAGGTGGAGGTGTTTTGCTTCATCTTGGCTCTAGAAGCATTTCACCCATCTTTTTTAAAAATATATATTCTCTCTGGATTCTTTGTGGGTTTAAACCTTCACTATCCAGCTCCTCCTGTAGAAAAGCTCATCCCTGAGGTGTTTGAAGAGGTGGTGGCAGCCTGTGTTGCTGCGCTGCCATCTGTTGGTGAAACGGCAACATCATTTTTAGTTTTGAAATAAATGACATAAAACAATGGCAGGACGATGCCTATGAGGAGCATAGCCACTACAGCGTTCCACCAATGGATCCCCCAGTCGGCACCATGACCAGTCAGGCGCTGTCCTTTCGAACCAAACCTCCGCCGGTGCTCTGAGTTATCCAGAATATCCTCGTCTTTATCATCAGTGGTCTGAATCAGTTTCTCAATATCCTGGTCCACCTCCATTAGAAAGTCTGTGACCTCCTGTAGGTGTGGCACAGCTCTGGATCTGTCCTGAGGCTTCACTCCTGTAGTGGATGAATGAGGCGTTTCTTCTAGAGGTTCACTGGGGTCTAGTGGAGTCTCAGTTAAAAGGCTGTGTTTCTGAACCGGTATCTTTATAGATTTCAGTGCAAATAGATCTTGCTCCTGCATAAGGTTGTTCACTCGCTTTATATCCGCAACCTGTTGACAAAAACACGAGATAAGCCATTTATGTTTTCATACATCATGCCCCTAGATTAATAAACGTCTTTAAAAAAAACTACAGTGCCCAAAATCTTTACCTTGCAGCCATATTGTAGTGCCAGCTTGTTGAGACTGTCACCATCTAACACCTCCCGCTCCAGCAGCTGCACATTCTTCAGTCTGTCCTGCCCAAGCTCTCTGAAAACCAAAGGCTTTGTCTCCAGGACAGTGAGCTCCTCATCATCTGAGGATGCAGCAGCCTCATTGGGTACCTTCCTGAACATATACACCTGTCCGTCCGCACTGGCGTGGACATCCACAGGGGCCTGGAAAGCCCGTGCAACGTGCTCCCCTCGCCGCATTGTGAAAACCTGCAAAAAAATGTCCCAATTCCAACTTTAAAGGTTGGCGTAATAACCTTTAATCCCCTGCCTTGTTCAACAGAGTGGGTTTTCTCTTAAGATGGTGTCTTTTACTTGCCCTTGTCTTGTCCCTGTACTTGAGAAAGAAGATTTTAAGTGCCACTGCCTCTTTAAATGACCTTAAAAAAACAATCTTGGGGGCTTACCATCATCAAAAATCAGCTGATGGATTCTGAGATTAAAAAAACTTAATCTCAAGGGCCTCAGCTATTGCATCAATGTCCAATTGTAGGTGTAGCACTGAATGCTTAAAAGTGGAAGTGCTGCAGATAGATCATCCATCATCTAAAAATAAAAAAATTCACACACACTGCAGTTCCTAAAAAAAGCAAAGGTTGCTTGAGCGTTCCCCATGAAGGCTGAGTACATGAGTTTTGCAGGAAACTGCATTTTGACCTTTGACATTAAGCCCCAAATTCTTGAACCCTCAAAACTTTCCCTAACAGGCAACAACAATCTCTACCACCCCTGACTTAATCCATCTTTAACCCTCTAAGTTTGAATACTACAGCCAACCAAGCAAAGAGCAAACAATCTGCAGTTTGATCTAACATTGTGTGTAAACTCTATCTGCCTTGGCTGAACTAACGTGGATGGCTCAACTGACTGAAAAAGGAAGCCTGGCCTGAATGTTTACGACCAACCACCACCAACATCTATCATCTTGCACTTGCCAGCTCTGCTCTGGAATGAGAAACCTTTCTCTGCATCTAGTCCAAGAACATGGTTGAACTATGAAGATTTGATAGTGTGATATTTATTTGTGACAGACATTAATGCAAACGAGAAAGCAAGCAAACATTAAATATTTCTAGTTTGTCCTGAGGACGATGTCCTAACCTTTAACATCTGTCAGAATAGGTGTGCTGCTTAAAAACTTCCACCTGAGCAAGAATTGATCAGGTTGAGATTTTCCCTCGTCTTAGACAGAAACAGAAACAGCCGATCAAACCACCAGTCAGCATCCTGCAAAACCCTGCAGCTAACACATGCACTTTAAAAGTTGTTTGTTTTTCCTCCACTGACAGACCTGACAGGCACTCTACAGCAAAACTGGAACCCAGGTAGTTTATTTCAATCCAACAAATCCCCAACAGAGGGGAGTCGAGTCTAATCTGGCTAACACGTTAACAATGGCAGATATAATGATGCAGATATCACGTTGTTGCTTTTGTTTTGCATTTGACAAAATAAAACAATGTAATATTAATGTCAAAGGACAAAAAAAAATGTTGAGCTTGAATAAATATTTTATCAAATTAATGTAGACAGAAAAATATTTGGCTCAGTAAAATATTGCTGCAAGGGACTTATGATTTCTGTTCATCTGTCTGAAATTATGATAAAAAAGGAAGTCATGCACTAATCTGTTTCATCAGAACATGACAGCAATTTATGTCAGAAGCAATAATGAGCTTATTATTCCATTATTCAATTATTCCATACGTCATAAGAGAACTTCAGTTCAAAACTAGCCAGGTACTGTTTTTGATTTGATATGTTTTTATTTCTGATGGGAAAAATTAGTTTTCATTTAGAAAAGATTATGATTGCCGATTTTGCAAAATGTCATTGATTGCATTATTATTTATTTTGGAAAGCCAGGATAACTCAAATCAACTGTTACTGAGACTAACAAAGTGGCCTAAACCCTCCAGCTAATGTTATGAAGCTGGATATGTCGCAGGACGAGGGGATATTTGCTAGTCATTTAAATAAAGCAAATAAAAGTCACTTTCCTGTTTTGAAAGTGTAAATATTGAAGCTGAAATTGTGCTTCACTTTTGGGCTCAAGCCATGACAGTAAGCCGTATTTAGGTTTATCAGAAAGGCTCTCTCTATAAGTGGTATTTTATTGAGTTGAGAAAAAAACACTTAGCTTTATGTGCAGAGAGTGATTCATAGTACATGTTTCTTCTAACTTTAGCTGTCATACAGATTAAAAACAATGGTTGAAGACAGCAGTCTATGAGTCCAGAATACAAAATGGAGGTGGGTAATAATATTGTTACTGCAATGTATTGTTTTCCCAAGTCATGCAACATAATCACCATAATGCAACTCCTGACATTTTGATTTGAAAATAATACGGTGCTCTGAGCAGATTTTCCTCCCAAACAGAATCACTGTCACAACTTTCCCTCTCCTCACAGAGGCATTAATCACATAACTGGCATTTTGTACTCTGCAGTCAATCCGATATCATGACGCATCATTAAATGATTTTCTGGCAAGTAATCAATAATTGCCACATTGCTGTTCAGTGATATTATGGGCAACGGGCGGATCAGGTATCTTGTCCTCTTACATCATGAGTTACCCTGTACTTCTCAACCCTCGTACATAACCTAACTTCTTAGGTAATAGGTAAGTGTGCTTTCACAAGGTTTTGCTCACTTCAAGCATATAAAGTAACACATTTGAAAACATTTCTTACTTTCTTCTTTTAAAGGGGTTCCCATGGTTACCAAAGACTGAGTTCACAAACTTTACTCAACCATTAGGGTGACTGTTTGTGTAAACTCATCACTACCTTGAATTTCGAATATAATAGTTTATATTTGACACTGAGACTAAAATTGATTTGTTCTACATTTGCACAAGAAGTAAAAGGCATGTAGACTTGTACACAAACAAGCCAAAATATTAGAAACACCCGGGCAATCTGATGTAACGCAACACAACAACAACTTTTGCAAAGCTTCAACATTTTCAGATTTTGTTGACTTTTTTTCCCCCCAAGTTGAACGCTGCAATAATATATAACACAGTAATAATCACCTGCCAGGTCATGTCAAACAGATTGATGGTGGAGCTATTAGCTATTACTGGATGCGTCAGTAAATTCAATTTGCTAATCATGTTGTCAGAAGACTAAGTCCATAAGAAGCACCTGAAGGCATCATCAGCAGAGGCTAACTAACTAGCCAAAGGGAGCTCTTGCTATGTAGCAGGTTAGCTCTAACTTGCAGCATGTGTCATTCAGCTAACAGCAACAGAGCCCAGAGTTCAGCTTCAGCTAATGTCTCACAGACAGCAGCATTACTCCTTCGACAACACAGTTAAAAGCTCTGGATTTCCCACAGTTTTAGAACTCATATTTCTCTATTCACTAAATTACCTTCTCAATATTATATGGCTACAGGACTCCACGCCACTGTCCTCCCAGAGTGGACTTCTCACAGCTTCATTTGCTCACATTGTCGCTGCTAGTGTGGCTCCGGCTAGCATCTGGTTCGGTTGGCCTACGTCTTCTTCGAGTTGTTTAAAAAAAAAATATGGCGGAGAAAGTGCAACACTGCCACCTACTGCTGTGGAATGTAAAGCAACAGCTTTAATCATTTATTCCGGAGAAATTCAAAGGAAGCTGAGCTAAATGAATAGTTTAAAAATATAGAAAAAGTGATTTAAAAAAAGTTGTTAATTAATATGGTGGTAATATTTGTATTTACACGGAAAAATTATAGAGATGTGGCTTTGCAACCCTTGTCCTGAGTTAAGAATAAGAATAAGAATAACTTTATTAATCCCTGAAGGGAAATTCAATTGTCTGTTGTCTCACAAAATATGTCTCTAAACGTTATCTATTATTTACACAAGAGTTATAAAGTCTAATGGCTGTTGGTACAAAAGATCTTCTGAATCTTTCTGTCCTGCAGTGAAGAGAGAGGAGCCGTCCACCACCATTGGCCCTTTGGTCCATCAAGGTGTTGTGAAGTGGGTGATCCATGTTCAGATCCAGTCCAACTTATTATCCAGATGTACACCTAGGTATTTATATGATGTGACCACTTCGATGTCATATATAATAATGTAATTTATAATAGTATATTATAATGCTGGTTGGAAAGTGTACCAGGATACAAGAAAAATTGATATTAAGCAAAACTGAAACTATAAGAAAGAAACGCAGCATCACCCCCCAGCTGTCATGACTTACATTAACAAAGTCTAATGTAATCTACTTTTAAATAATAGTTAGCTGTAGTGAATGCAGTTTACTCTCTAAGTAGCCTAATACGGGACCCGTTGGGTTGGAGCTTGCAGCAGCACATTGCTTGGGCTGGGTTAATGCAGTAAAGTGAATAATATGAAAGTATTTTTAGTGCAAAAGGTTTGTGCATCTGTAACATGTGATTTGTAGTTGGATACAGTGATTGAGTATGTGTATTAGTGAATGTGAAATCCGCACTCTATGAGTTGTGTACTTGTTGATTTTTTTCATTTCCACAAGTACAACACAACATTTACACATTCACAAATTCTTAATCACAGCTGCACAAATCCTATTTTACAAGTCACAGATTCAAACACTGACATGCTCACATTTTTGCTCCAATTGTTGCAGCATAAAATATGTTTTGCACCAAATATGCTGCAACAATTGGAGCAAAAATATGAGCATGTCAGAGTTTGAATCTGTGACTTGTAAAATAGGATATGTGCAGCTGTAATTAAGAATTTGTGAATGTGTAAATGTTGTGTTGTACTTGTGGAGATAAAAAAATCAACAATTACACAACTCATAGAGTGCGGATTTTACATTTACTAATACAAATCCACAATCACTGTATACAATCACAAATCATATGTTACAGATGCACAAACCTTTTGCACCAAAAATACCTTCATAAGTGAAAGCTGGTTTCTGTGTCTCAAGGGAAACAGAGGTCAGAGTAATGGTTGCACAATCTGTGACCACTAGATGGGGCTAACGATCTTTCATTGGTCATACTATTTGATCAGTGTTAATTTTTTTTTTTTTTGGGCAGATTAAACTAATCCGGAAGGATTTTGGTGGAGCAATTCTTTATCACTCCATTCTAACTTTGACTCATATGAAAAAAAAAAGATACATTTAGATTGTTAGTTCATCTTAAATTATTCTGAGCAGGCTGAAAGGTGCAATCTCAGATAAGAAAAAATAATATATAAAACTCACTTACAGCATTAAATGCAGTGATAATCTGAAACCATTGTCAGTTTTCTGTGCTGTCCATGTTTTGACATATTTTACCAGACTGTCTATTCTACTGTTTATATCTCATGAAGAATTTTGATCAAAACAATTTTTCCAACATAAATTTTAAAGTTGATCTGATGTGAAAGATCCCCTCCGGGAAATAAAGATCCATTACCATGCTTATAAAAATTGTCTACTTCTATATGTCTAACTGGAGACCGGTTGAAGACCACATTCTGAAAGGGAATATTCCATGTAATACTCCAGGACAGCATCCATTATGGACAATTTATAAATGTTTTGCTAAAACTGAGCTTGCCAACCACTTGTCAATCTGATGAATCCTGATAAAAATACCTTCAGCCATAAAAGTGATCTTGGTTTCAGGTTATCCCATTAAGTTTATGGTTATCCAACATAAAGGCAGCATAAAGTAAGCATTTTTTTCCCTGCAGGCCACATGACAAATTAAAATAACTAATCAAAGTGATAGTTCTTTCTCCTTCCAAAGACACCAATACAATCCTGTTAGCTTGTGTGTAAGGTGAAACTATTTCATTTGGTTTATAGTGAATACAATTTTAACAACATTCGTGACCATCATGAAAAACAGCAGAGGTGTTTGGAAGTGGAGACAACTCATGCAAGAATGACTTGCACGATACTTGTTTTATAGCGGGGATACGCACATCAAAAGTTTAATCATATGTTTAATAATAGCCTTTAAAAACCATACAAGATACGTAATTGTGCGTAAAATTGCGTCATTGTCGTGGTCCCATACTGCGTTCGAGTTACCTAGGAAGTCAGAAGTCCGAGCTGAGAATGACGTCATACCCGAGTTCCCAGCGTTTCAGTTACAAAATCGGAAAAAGCAAAATCCGAGGCGCAAACAAAATCGCTATATCTACGAAAGTTATTTGAGTGCTTCCCTTATATTGGGATACGGCAATTGCTAAAATAACTTTCGTAGATATAGCCATTTTGCTTTTTTTTCGACTTAGTAACTGAAACGACTGGAACTCGGATGTGGCGTAATTTTCAGCTCGGACTTCTGACTTCCGAGGTAACCCGAACGCAGCACAACGTACCTTCTGGAATTGGAACGTAACGAGCGTCCTGTTTACGTGCACTCTGATTGGTGCGCGCTAGCCCGCGCATTTCAGTGGGCGTATACGCGCAGTTGGCGGCTTTCCTTCCTTCCTTCGTTAGACTTTTGAACCGCAAAATAACGCCTAGAAGAATAAGAAGCAACTGAGGACGTTGGACTGTTGTGGTATAAGTAGAGAACGGATATAAACCAGCTCCTTCAACCAAAAGTCTGAAATTTCGAAGCTAGGCTGCTCCACTCAGTTGGAAAGTCCATCACCTGTAACATAGGCCCCGCCCTGCAACGCGCACGTAGTGCAGAGGACGCCAATGGTAAGAAAATGGTTGAATTTCACAAAGTTTCTCATAACACACCTATGAAAACTTAACTCAATCCATAAAGCTTTGAAACTGAAGATTTTGTTGTCTTTGTGTGCACACCAACCAACCAAAACATGAACACCTGAGCAATCTACTGCAATCTGATAGAACTGCTCTGCCACAAATTCTACTGTCAGGAATCCTTCTCAAGCTTCAGTTTTTGTTGTTAGATCTGTGAGCTGTGGCCTGAAAGAGCAGGACATTGATTTTGATTCCCCTTTTTGGTCAATACAGGCAGAGTAACTGAAGGAAAGTACCACAGAAACAAGTGGAGCTTCACAGGGACAACAAAACAGGTAAGAATTAAACATGAACAGGAATGCTATCCAGTACACGTGATTAGATTTTTCACAATGGTCTGATTCTTTTTTGTAACATGAGAAGTGTGCAAGAAAAAAGTGAGCTTTCCTCTTTGCCAAATAGGCGGCAGTGTTTCTTATGCAAGTTGTGATGATGCAAATTATATTGGGAATCTAATAAACTGAGTTGTGACAAATCCTCCACCAACATTCAAGAAAGCGCTTTTCGGTATGGAAGCTATTCTAGTGCTCATAGATGTTTGTGTTGGTTACATGGACACTAAAGTGGCAGAGACTCTTGAAAGTGAGTCTGGCAGTTGAATTCAATGTCAAAAAAGTTGTCTGGATTCTGGGGGCCTTTGTCAGATGTCCCAGTGAATGGAAATCTTAAACTCATGGAGCTCATAGTCTTTGTTGTGAAATGTGTCACCTCTTAAGACTAAAAGGCTATCGCAGACAAAACAGAAACAATCCAGGAGTTCTAGGTTACATTCAACTCCTGTTTTTACTGTGTGCATCTGTGTTATGTGTGCTTTGTGTTGTGAGGTGATGTGGAGATCTCAGAGACCCTGAGAGTTTCTGGTAGGCGTTGTTGTTGGTCTTGTGGCAACATAAAGCAGGTTCTTGTGGCCTTTGTGCTTTAAGCTACACACCATATTTGTCCTGATTGCTGCTCTTTATTGCTGTGAATGAAAAAAAAATTGGTAGAGATAATTACAACACTGATGCCATGTCTTCAGTGTAAACCATTTCCTTGTTGCTTTGTATTTCATAGTGGATGGAAGCATGTGCACATTGTTACTTGTTTATTTACATTTTCCACATTACATGGCTTGATAATGTAAGACATACCCATATGCTGTATATTGTTGGATGTAATTTGGCTGTTGTTGAGTTATCAGTCCTTTCAAAATAACCTTTATAGTTTACTAGGAACAAAATAATTAATTCAGGTAAAAATGACAAAGACAACTGTTACTGAGGTCTAAACCACTTCTTTAGCTGTAAGCTGATCTCTGATTGGTCTAACCATGAAAAGGCCAGGCTGAGAAGTATAACCTCTGACAGTAACCTTTTGGTCTTGTTAAGAAAACACAGTTTTTTAAAGTAATTTAGATTCCAACTATCAAACTAGTCTACATATGAAAAATAAAAAAAATAAACCCCATCAAAATTAAGTACAATTTATTTGACAGGGTTAGGAACAGAATCACAATGTCTGCAGGTAAACAATGTTGAATTGGTTCACTGAGTGTGGCTCATAATAGCAGTTCTAGAGGCACCAATTTGCAGGTAACATCCACATTTCTGTGCGCGTTGCATATTGCTCTGGTTGGGTGGTTATATGCAAGTTTAACTCTCATTTTTAACATATTTTCTAGATCAAAATACTGCCAAAACGTGACATGCTCCTGTATGCTCTCTGCCATCTATGTTTGTTTTCATTTGTGGCTGTAGGGGAGTATGGCACAAGCCAATAACTGGAGCTGCAGCCCCAGCTGTCACGGTTTGGGTCTACAGTGATAAACATGATTAGTTTAGCTGATTGGAGTGGTTAGGATTTATAAGTCATTCATACCTTCGTTTGGGTTATTTTTATGGGATGCTGTCAACTAGCTACCTCTTGTTGACAAAATATAAAAACTCCTCTGGCAGTTTCCAAACAACTTCAGGCACAGTACCCCCTGGAATGATGGGGAAATGAACCTGACGTGTACTGTTGCCAGTTAAAGCCCTGAGGGATAAAGCTAGATTTGTGATCAGAGCATCAAAGAAAAAAAGCTAAAATGAGTCGCCTGATACTCTTTGGTGGCTGTTGATACAGCTGGGCCGTCTGCCAAAGTTATGTCTAGTTGTGGTTTTGTCTTTATTGACCACTCTCTCCTGTAGTTGAGGAAAGGGAATATCCGTGAATAACTCTTGCTTGCTTCTGTTATAGAATGGAGACATTCATGGATGAGATTGCAGCAGTTATGTTGATGTTGAAAGCCAGTTGATAGACATTACCACTTTATAAGGGGTGGGAGTCAAGTGATTTATGTTTGAAAAACTAAATAACTGGCCATACTTTGGGGTTCGGAGCTCATGTGCATGAAAAATGTGAGTTCTTGGGCTGCATTTCTGAAACTGTTTATTTGAAAAACACAAACCTGTGCAGGAAAAGCTTTCGGTCAGATGTGGACTTTTGCAATTACTTCATGTAGAATACTGTGTGTCTGTTGAACTCAGTTATTTCATGCGTGCATTTTATGAATCACTTTTTCTTATTGCATTTAAAACAGGCCAGAGCTCACAGCAAGGCTTGCTAGACATAAAGTTAATAGCAGTCATGCATATTCTAGTGTTACTTTTCACATATGCATACCCACTCAGCTGGAAACCACACATGACCTCCAGTTGACTCCTTTAATTAGACAGCATGGTCGAATCATTCCCTGATTTCGTGGTCAAGTATACAAACCAGTCTCACAATGAAAATAAACATTCAGAAGTCATAGGTGTTTGGATTGTTGTCTTGTTTAAATCAAAATAGTTTGGATTATATTTTTGTCAACGCATGTTCATGTGTCAGCACAGTCACAGCTTTAAGCTGCAGTGAACCTTCCTGTTTACTTGATGGTTTCATGTAGACAACCTTTTGCACTCGAAAAAGCCGAATGATAGTTAAGTTAATGTTGCCTTAGAGGGTTTCATCATATCATTTACATTGCATTCAGATTCAGGGTGTAACACTGAACGATAATCAACAGAGCGGCATAATGTGCCATATTTCAGGGCCACTGAGCAGCTTGTCCAACTGACAGAGACGGAGAGAGTAAGAGACTCTTCAGAGAGAGAGAGGGAGAGAGAGAGAGTGAGAGAGGAAGAGAGAGGTGGGGAGAAAGCAGGGACTGAGAAGTGGGGATAAAGCCCTGTTCACTGCATGCACATGTTGCCTGAAGAACAACAGAAAGGGCTTTGCTTTAAATGATTCAGAGCAAAGATAAAATATTTATTGAGGTGAAAGATTCATGTATGGCACATCTATGAACTCATTGCTGTATGTCTAAATTAGATCATGTTGTAGTATTTAGCTTTGCCTACGAAAAAAGAGTTAGATTTTCCCTAGCAAAAAAAAGCATATTAGTGAAGCATTGTGAATGCGCTAAAGATGTCTTTTTAAAACCAACTCTTTCATGTCTTTTAAATGCAGTTTTTTCCAACTTTAAACATCCACCATGAAGAGAAATATCTGAATATTTGTTTTCCTTAAACTTGACGCTCAAGCAAAATTGTGCAGCTTGAATTCTCATCTGGTATTTTTCAGAAAGTCTTTTTTTAAAGAAAGTGGCATATTGCTGTTATTCTTTTCATTGTTATTGAATTGTTGACATAAGCCTGACTACACCCTATTGCCATACACCGTCAGAAACGTTTGATTATTTGTCTCACAAAAATTGGAGCATAAGAATTTTTACTGCTGTGTGGATGTCGAAACAAACCACAGGTGACCGGAGGGGGGTTTGTCTAGGAAATCTGTGGGGGTCCCACCGCAGTTGATGTGAGGAAACAAAATTAAATCCTTATGGCTCAGGGTCATGGCAACAGTTCAGATGTTTATTGATTAAATGTCAGATGCCCAGGTGAACGTGATTCACAGCTCAGAGGAGTCTAATTCAACAATCCATCACCAGTAGAGGAACATTCAAAACAATACATCATCACCACAAGTTTGGAGCTCCTGTGCAACTCAAAAATGGCGAAATGATGAAACGTTGCGCTGTGATATTGATATTACTGTATAAAGTTAAAGCAGCAAAGCTAACTTAGGCCCGGACTACAGGTATATAGATATTTATTTATCAGGATATTTTTGTACTCCCGTCTAAATAAATGTATCTGTCCACACGGGTTCTCAGAAATATCTGCGTCCACACGTAGCCTTCAAACTCAATCCTATCTGGTGCTGCTTAAAAATAATTCAGGAACAAAGCTACCTGATTGGCCGATGAATCGTAACAGCGTGATGCGTCATGAATTGTTTGCAGAAGCTTCGCTAGTGCGTCGGGTCCATGTGACGGACCATGTGACCAATAAAAGTATTGGGCGCAGCAGACGCCTTTGTGAGCTGGCTGACTGGTGGATGTAATTGTATAAAACAAGGTTCACTTGCAAGGCTGAAATTAGCCCCAAAAGGGCAAAACAAACGTAAAGAATACCCTGTGTGTCCGCCATCGTTGTTGTTGTTTTTCTTTTTAATTCACATGCGCGAGCTGCGGTTTGACGTCATCGATCCGTAAAAGTTAAACCACACGAATCCACTTATGCAAATATTTTTTTTTATTTCTCCACTTGTTTTTTCGGATTCAGATTTATCAGATTAAGCCAGATCAAAATATCAGCTTAAAAAAACATTTATCAGTTGCAATATTGACAAGCAATGAAATTTTCCTCTATTTAATTAGTGTATATTTTCAAAAAACTCCACAATAAATGTAATCCACAGGAATAAGCTGACTGCTGTATTATAGCCTTATTTTGTTGATCTGCTAAATTTGAACATGGAGAAAATGGAAAAAAGTTGTCCTGCTTTAAGAAAGAAAAGGAGAAAAAGACATCAAAATGGATCCAGAAGCTTACAGCTATTATTTCCTAGCATTTTTGGTTAGGGTGAACAATTGAGAAAAACATTAAAACTGAATGGTCATTGTAAGACGCATTTCCAAATAAAATCCTCATTAATACCTATTAATCTTTGAGACTACATTGTGTAAAACAATTGATGTGTTATCAAAAGACTATAAAATCACTTCAAGTGTAACTGTGCTTTTGTAAAGTGAGTATTTGAGAGCAAACATCCCGACTCAAAAAGTAAACACCCTCATACATTGAAATGGCGTGTCAGTGATGGCGGATCTTGTGCTGCTATGAGTACAATTCCAGACAGGGCAGGCCTTCAGCCAGGAGAGAGGGGGAGCGTTTTTTTGCTGATAGGTTCGGTGCAATTATTGTGGGGTATATTAATTTGGAAACCCTAAGGGTGACCCCTCACATGAGACAGAGGTCTGGCAGTCTTGGTCTTCATGCAGGCCATGAGCGTACAGTGACACATAACCTTGCCCTGTCACCACCCTCACCAATGTGTCAGCTAACATTACTGTGATTGACGTTGAGCCAGCACTCCAGCCCTGTGAGATCTGAGGCTCTGTATAACCTCGCCCTGACTATGTACCAGGGCTAGGACATTTGGGGCATGGTGCAGGATCATGATGTTTGTAGCCTGTGCCTCTGTTAAACAAGGGCATGAGGCTTTGTGACCTTGTTTAAATGGGAGCTTTGTCCATAGTGTTATCTCAGCCAAAATCTTAATGTCGTTTTAAACATCACTCTATAAATAAAAACTCTTGCTTTTACACAAAAGATCCAATGCTAAGTTGGGAAATTTATATACTCTCAGATTGACCACGGCAGGTGACAGGTAGAGAATTATACAATATATTTCTCCTGAAGCTCTACCATTTGCTGTATTTTCAATGATGCTTGTTAGTTGACCAACCTGTGATGTAAAAAAGAAAAGGTGAAGTTACAGTCATCGTTTGTTGGTACTTTTTACTAAAACTAAGTCATGAACCTCTGTCTGTAATTCACATTCTGCTGAACCATACTGTTGCTTAAAGACTGCTCCCTTGTCAAAGTCATGAGTCTCACGAAATCCTGGCTTGGATGGCTAGTAAGCTAGTTAAGCTTTAAAAAGCCAATTTAATGACCACTTAGAGCAGGGGTGGGCAATCATGTGCCATGGAGGGTTGAGAGGCTGCAGGTTTTCTTTCCAACCCAAAACTCCACCAGGTGATTTCACTGATTACCTTACCTCCAAGCAGAGAGCAGGGACTAATCAGTGAAATCACCTGGTGGAGTTTTGGGTTGGAAAGAAATCCTGCAGCCTCTCGGCCCTCCATGGCACATGATGTCTGTGTCTGTCTTGCAGTTCAAATTTGAGATAAAAAAATGTAAATCTTCATTTAAACAACAACAAAAAAAATTCTTCCTCAGTGTTTCTGTGCTACTTAACAGTATGTATGACAGATATTTGTTACAGTTAATAATCACAGTGTGGATGAAGGATGCAAGTTCAAAATTTTCTTGTAGATGAACTTATGGAAATGTCAGTGATCGTCGATTCCTCATAAAAAAGAGATTTTTCCTGTGACAAACAGATGTGTTTTTCCCCCCTTAAATCATTTATTTTCCACAGCATATTGAAAAAATGAAGCATGCCCATATGGTTGGGTGTCAGTCAGGAGCATAACTGGGTCACACCAGGAAACACCTGCTCAAAAGGCGGTGGTGTTGCTGGTATGTACAGATTTTGGCATGGTGGTTTTGCCAGTCTGGGAAACCTCTCTTCATGCCCTATAAAAAGTTCTCAACATATGGGCTGATGTCATTAGTGGCAGCTGTCGTTTATTGCCCTCACCCCCTAACCCCCGCTTAAAAAAGAGCTCCTAGAGACATGGCGCATCATCACATCCTCCAGGCTGAGCGCCTCCACAAGGGCTGTCATGTTATCCGATTTCTACCTTGCAAGTATTGTGGCTATAAAATATAATGATAACAATATTATCCTGATACTTGTGGAAATCTTGAAAATTAAACAACGAAAATCAGTCAAATTGAGGAAAAGCAAGATGAGTGGAACAACACATTTCTTAATAAACTAACATAATAAAAGCAGTCACCTTACATTTTATAATCTATTCCTAATAATATTCAAATTTATGATTTATCTGCATCACTAGCCCTGCGAAGAAAACTTCTTTGCAGAGACGTTGCCTCATTTAATGATTGTTCATCATACTTTTATTTTGGTATTTTTTTCCTGTCTTGCTTTAAAGTTGCTGTATTCCTGTATTGTCAAACTATGCTTTTATTTTGTAGTAGAACTTTCGGTAGACCGTAAGTTTCACAACAGAATAAAGCAGTTAGAAGAACGGTTATAAAGTGTACATGTTCAGTTCATTAGTAACCCAAAGAGCCTCAATCTTAGGATTCATAATAAATCTTAAACATCAGTTTTTAGTAAACAATCATGTCTTGGAGGGCGGCTTCAGCTCACTTGCTAGCCGTCTGTTATGCTTCCAAAGTTTCTCCTTCATTTTATTATGTGTTGCAACCAGCCTAAAGGACAACTATGAACTTACAAACTAACTGTTTGTTTATTTTTAGCACAATATCAATATGTTATTTTCTTATGCAGTCAATGTCAGTATAGTACACTGCGACAGCTCTAGTGTCTACTGTGCACAACCTGTTGGTCTAGCTGGGTCTAGTCTGAGGCCACTAGTTGTTTATCTAAACCTGGTAGAAAATAGGAAAAAAAATAAAAACCTGCGTTTCAATATGTTCTTAGCAATCGGTGCATTGAAACTCTATTAAATTGTCACAGTGTTGCTACAGTGTGCATCATGATTAACTCAGTTTTTTAACCTTTCTTATTAGTTCCCAAAATTGAACCTGTAATTTCAGTCTGGTTGTGCAAAACTACATATTAACCAAACATAGGCTACTTGTATTTTGCTAATGTAAATAAAGTAATACTGAAATGTTTCTGACACAGAGGTTTTTAATTTATTAAAATGATGCCATATGCAACATTAATAATAGTTTAAAAAAGATGCCAATCATATATCTCTCTCTCAAACCGACACAATTTCTGTTGCTCTGTTCTAAGAGCGGTATGCCCCCTTATGATTGGATATAATGCTAATTATATAATACTTAACTTCCAGTCGATGTCCCTTTCTACCACAGTGGCATGCAAATACCCTTAAGGAAACACTGAGTTGAAAGGCTTCATGTAATGGACTATGTTGGAAAAACACTCTTACCTCTAAGAGGGGAGTGCCTTGTAATGCTCGGTATCCACAGTGCGAGTTCAAACTGCAGTCACAGGCTCCACTACCTTTGCTTGTTTGATAGAATGTCAGTTTCTCTGTGACCATGGGATTTCAATAATGTATGCCAGTTATGTTCAGGCACTGCACTGTGGTTTTATGCTTTAGTAGAACCACTACATGACCTCAGCGTTCCTGCCATTAAGTCATCACTGTCAATAGAGGGAATGAGGTGCAGTGAAATATTAATTATTGTATGGGCTTTGCTCTTTATGCAGGAGTAGTAAAACTGTATAGAAAAGAATGGAGGAAAGAAGCTGCTTGGATCCATCCTCACAACCAAGTCTGGAGAATTTGACCAAATTGAAATAAACAGGGTTTTTATTATTGTTATTAGAAGTATTTTAGAAATATCCCATTAATGTCCATATCAAACTCATGCGATTTACAGCACATATGTGATATTCGTTTTTATCAAGTAAGACACACACAGGATAATGTATGCATGATAACAAACATTTCTCTATTACCACAAAGGAGGGATCCAGTTTGGCAAGAAATTTCTGACTGTGCTGCGTCTGTTGCTGCTTGAAATCCTTACTGCTTGTTTGAGATCTACACTACCTACAGTTGAACCTCTATGATTTGATGAGGTGATGCACTGTATGCTCTCATAGATACTGACACAAGAAGTCAGTGGAATGAAAGGGACACTCATGTTTAAGCCACCGCTACTAAAGCCGATTTCTCACATATACTGCAGTCCTGAATACATCTGAACTTTATCAATTTGTCCCTGCTAGCCCCCTTGTTTGAAAGGACTCCTGGCATTAGATTCTTAAAGGTTCATGGAGTTGTGCTTTGGTGTCCTCTCTGATTACTTACACTGATTTACACGTTTATTGGTATTTTGATGTCACTATACATGTTGCAGCGACAACCCTAAAACAAACATGACAACATGTGAAACCAGTTGTAAGTTTTTAATAGGGTAAAAAACAGCGGTCTGTCCTTCTGTCGGTGCAAGGGAATGGATGAACAGTAAACTGAGGCTTAGTGAAAAATGCACTAATGAAGAGTTTGAGGGGCCAGAAATAAGAAGAGTTAGAAAATAGCATTTTTTTTATTTTGTAGTGCACTTTAAGAAAGTTAGACGGTTGAGAATAAAGTCAACATTTCAAGTAAAATGCTGAGATTTAAATTCAAGAAAAAAGGTCAAATGTTATATCAAAATTTCAAGAATAAATCCAAAATTCAGATATGAGAGAAAAAGAATAATTTCTGAAAAAAAAAAAAAAAAAAGTCAAATTCAGTTTCGGGGATAAAAGGTTGATAATTGCTAGATGATGTTGCCCACTTCTGTGTAAAATCAATTATGGGCCATAGCTTCTATACTGTGTTGTATTCCAAACATGCCATAGTAATGTTTTATTGTTGTTTTTAACGTACAAGATTCTCAAAAGACATAATTTTTTATATCCATGTGAAAGAAAAAGAGGAGATGGATGAAGTTGATCATTTCAGTTAAATTCTATAGTTTTTGTTAAGGTCTCTGATGTTCGCATAAAGCTTTGGATTAATTTGTAAACACATGCTGTTTTTTCAGTGTTATATTTGAATGTTTTTACCTGTTATTGATAGGACAGATGTAGAAAGACAGGAGACATGCTGAGACAACGGGGGAAGAGTAAAGGGTGGTGGCCTGGTATGGCAAGAGCTGTCACTGTGATAAGGGCTGTATCCTCGGTGGATGGGACATGCTGAAATCACTGGGCCAAACAGTGTCCTACTCATTGATGAATCTGATATGAGAAATGTTTGAGGTTGTAAATGATAACAATAACAAACATTAAAACATGACGTTTTAAATATCCACAGTTAGATACACATTTGAGAAGCTCATATTTTGAATGATGGTAGATCAGATCGTGTTCCCCTCCTTTTTCTGACGTGATTCGCTCCATGCAAGTACGGTTATCAAATACTGAATAAAGGTAAATTTTGTTTAATGCAGCTGTGAATGATTCAACTGAATGTCCAAAGCTAGTGATATCAAGCGTCAGTCCATACATTTTTAAACTGCGGTATAAGAGGATTCATATTTAACATGAGACAATCAGTGCATTAACAGCAGGAGGGATTTACAGAAGCACCTCTCCATCACTCTGATATTCTTTGTTAGGAGTTGCAGGTTATCAGATCTGTGAGTGATGAGATTTTCTAAATCTGTGGTTTTCAAACTTTTCCTGCAGGTCCCCCTTAAGGTAGATGAAAACATCTTCAAGCCCCTGCTTCTTTTCATCATATTCATTAAGACGTAAGTGATTACATATGTTAAAAACCTCCTGGGACTGCTCAGTTTGGGAATAATTTGTCTAAGTCATTATTTGCAGATTGGTACAGTAGAAATGCGCATGCAAATGCAAGAAAAATATACTCAGACAGCCTGTCCATGTATGGTCTGTGTGTGGGAAACACTGCACCGTCTGTCCTTATTTGAATATAATTTTTCTAACTATAGACTCTAGGCACTTGAGTTGTGAAGTATCCTGATCTAATCTTAAATCAGCATGATTAAAAAAACCACAGAGAATTTAACTGTTTCAGAGTGTTTCCTGCCCATTGTATCATTAACAAGATAGTGGCACTCTATATTTTACCATTCAGTAAAGTGCAGTGCTATATTAACCTTCTGTAGAGAATGCCACGGCCTCTCAATGAAGTACATCTACTCTTCATTTGGTGGTCACCCACAGGGAGAGAGAACAATTAGGCCAAAAAAAAACAGGGATATGGTCAACATCAGGAAACAATGCTTCTGTTTCCAACTGCGCTGCCCCTTTGCCACTGTTCCAAGAAGACAATAAAAGAAGACAGGCAAAACTGAGAGTCAAATCGAAGGTTAATTGGAGCCAGAAAAATGTCAACCAATTTTACCGATCAGCCACAAGGGATATGCAGCCCTTGGTGAAAAAGATGCTGGTATATCTACAGAGTACATTAGCTTCCTTTCTGTAACGTCCTCCTGAAGAGAGTGATGATGACATCTTTTCAGCACTCTGTTTGCCCTCAAAGCATTTGCGTCTGCACAAAAGACAAAAGTGTGTGTGTATGTGTGTGTGTTACAGTGTGTGCACGTCCCTGGATGTGTTATATGCTGCATGCCAAAATCAACATTGCTATCGGAGATACTAGCTCTTTGGGAGACGACAGGTGTTGGCAACAGATCTCTGACACCTCTGTGGTCATGGCATATCCATCCCCTCTGGTTAGTCTTACCGCAACAAAAGGTGCTTTGACAACAACAACCTCTTTGCAGAAGAATATAAACAGCATTTGGGGCTTGTTATGCCATGAATTATAAATATGACAAATATGAAAATAAAAATAAAGTGCACTTCATTGTGCTTCTAAAGGCTTTCGAGCTGCTTTGCAAAGCTTTCATTACTGCAGCTTTTGAAAAGTCCTTGGTTTGAATTTAGCTGCTTGTGCCAGGGTTTGTGAATGATTATTACTGCACCCTTCGCTGAAATTGAATTCTTCAAAGGAAAGATTGATAAGGAACTTTAAAGCTATAAAGGAAAGGAAATAAAGAATGCACTTTTTTAAGGCTAACCTGAGTGAAAATGTCATATTGGCAGTTTACGGAGGAAATTGGCCAGTCCTTCAGTCAAAAAATAAAAATCGTTGCCACAAAGGTTTTTCTCGAGGTTTTTCCTGACAACACACACACACGCACACACATGCTCACACAGACCTTGGGGTCCATATTTTTTGGGACCTGAACCAATATTGGGTTCAGAGTAATCTAGAAATTAAGTCCCCCTCAAGATTGACACTCATAATTTGAAATTCCTCTTTGGAAATATCACAGTTTTTATAACATCCGATTATTAGGTCAGTTAGAGAAAGGACATGAAGAAGTAACAACCCACTACAGTAATATTTACATGTGATTTTGACCATCACGGCAGTGTTGTTGATAATTACACTGAGTAGCTCATGTATCTGCATGTGTATTTCCACCTTATTGAGCTGTGCTTTCCAGTGCTTGGGGTGACCCATGCATCACTAGCATTAAATCATGCTGTCACATCCTATAGTCTTTTTTTGTGCCTTTGACAAAGGGCAACTTAGCCTTGATCTTCCTCACAGGACTACAGAGACTAATGATAATAAAAAGGATTACTCTTGGTATAAGAAAAGGTGCTGTAGTCCACTCTTAATTGGTGAGCTCCCTTGCTAAGTTGATCTAGTCTTGAGGCTGCCAGTTAGTGAACTGGTCAATTAATCTTCTCTCTCTCTCATAATGAGGTGGGGGATTTCATATGGCTGGTCCTTCTCACAAAGACAGACAATGTGCCCAAAGGATCCTCTGTCCCTGCACCAAGTGACCTGACAATTAAAAAATGTACCTCCCTTCTTCCCCTTCCTCACCAGGTGGCAAATTGGTCTGACCCAGCCTCATATCAAAAGGACTAACCATGACTTCAAACCGACTTCACAGGAACAAAAAGAGGGGAAAGGGCAGTATCCTCCGTGAAATAAGATTGTTGTATTAAGACTTTTGGCCCACATCATTCTGCCTTCCTCATCTTGTGGTAAATGAAAAACGGCGAGTTGAGTCCTCCCTGCTGTGTGTCACAAAGGTTTATGCTCTCACAGGAAGGAAAAAAAAATTGCGTTGTAGCTTGACATTAATTTGATGATGCAGATGTGACAGTGAAATAAGCTTAATGTTTAGGGTTAAATGTGCTTGACCTCGCATTGTCGCAGGTTTTCAATCTATTTAGCGAGAAAAGCCAAAAGAGAGGAGCCAGTCATCACCAAAGACAAAACCAATTCAAAGTCCTTCACCTTTCCTGCCTTTTTTTTTATCACTGTCTCTTTAATTGCGTGTAGGTTACTCTGAGAGGAGTAACCCCCTGACATTGACACTGTGACGCATTACAGAATTCAAATCAATAAGTTTTTAGAGCCACTTGAACTCTGCGGTGAAATCCTCTGAAAGCAACGGCTGGCTAACCAAGTATGACAAAAAAACCACGGCCCTGTACGTCATTGTTCTCTATGGGCCTCTTTCAGGGTGATTTAGTACCATAATAGCATATAAAATGATTTTTTCTGATGTACTTAAATGTTTTACATACCAGGCAGTAATGTTACATACAAACCTTCAGTCTTGCTCTGTTGAGTTACAAGGAGATCTGTTACGAGCCCTAGCGAGTCAGTCTCCTGGTTACACTTCAGTGACTAACCATTAAGGTTAAGATGGCATTGTTTAAGTTCACTGTTGAGTGTCAGTAGCTACGATTCTCATTGATCCATGACTTCATCAGGTGCTGCCATGCAGAACAGTGGTACTCCAGGAATTAGTTCACTCACTGCCTTAGCCTGGTTGTGTGACCCCTGACATTTGACATTGTTTGCTGAGAAGGTTCCCTGATGTCTCATTTTAAGAACAAAAACACACATGAACATCGAGGAACCTGGCTGCCCTCAGTTGTAACAAAATGTGCCATATTTACTTGTTTTATTTACTGAAAATGGTCAACTGGCTGTGTTGATACATGAGTTTAAGGTTGACGAAGGTTAAGGTGAACCTTTTAAAGTTAAGGTTCGCTTGTTACATTACCTGACTAGCTCACTGCTCACTTGCACTATGGACTCTTCCCTGTCACTCTTCTTCTCTGCCTTAGCAACTATGACTTTGTTTTCATCCTTTTTATCTTGAGTGAGTGTTCCTCTTCAATACCTCTGCTTGGTGGGAGTTTTTAATGTCAAGCTAATGTGCTGTGACCAAGACGTGAGGGGGCTGAGCATTAGTTACATTAGATTAGCATGTACTGTATGTCATTTACACCGGTGCTGTAAACAAACCAACAGACACAGTAGTGTCTCACTTCGTCCGAATCACAATTTATCCCTCCACTTAGAATGGACCTGAAGCAGGTTCTGAGAGTGGTTGTATTGCTCCTAGCATGCCTGATCATCAAGCGGGCCAAGCAGCACCAGGGATGCACCGATCCACTTTTTTTTACCTCCCATACCGATACAGATATCTACAGTTTAATATTGTCCGATACTGAACCAATTCTGATACAGCAAAGTCGCACTGAATTACCTTTTGTTGTAACCTGAAGCTCTACCATTGCCCCTCGGAACGTTTACTGCACAGGTATTGCAAGTGACCGTCCTCAGTGGCCTGATGTATTGTGATAAAGTTCAAGATAGCAGACGCCTTTGCTCGCTCCATTTTGAAGACAATGTGGACATTCACTCAGCGTGTTTACTTGTGGATGCCACTCACTGTGTATAGCATAGAGTTAGACTCAAGAGATCGGCCCCTATGCACTGGGCCCATTGTCAGGATACCTGATCTAGAATTTTCTTAACTATCGGGACCGATATCAAATATTGGATCGGTGCATCCCCAAGCAGCACGTACTGATCCTGTGTTACATGAGGAGGCTGTATCCAGCAAGAAAGTTGTGTCAGACACGAACCAATCGCTCTTGGATCCTGCTATGTTTACGTCTCGCCAATAATGGTGGAAATGTGTCACATTGACATAGGGCACACATGCGCAGTCAGGTTAGTTTTTCCCCAACAGAGAGTCACGATCAGAATAAGTGTTTACATGGACACGTTTAAGAATAACGATCAGCATAAACCCCCCCTCTGGATTGGAATACAATGTTTTTTTCCGATTGAGCCGAATTGGATCATAATCTTCCGATCAACATGTTTACATAGACACATTTTTATTCCAATCAGGCCTTTAGTCTGATTATTTGTGTGCACGTAAACGCAGCTGTTGAGTCGAACATGAATATATGTGCAGAGATGTTCAATTTTCGGAACATGGTTATAGTTATGGTTATCCATGTCTGTTTATGGCAACTCAGCAAAAATCCCTCCAGTGTCTCAGAGATAGGTTTGTCAGTGTCTTTTTAAATGCCCTGGACTAGTTTCAAGACTGGGCCCTTAAATTGGGTTAAAAAAAAAAATAGGCGAATCCACCACCTGCCGTCTTTCGTGAACTGCTGCTCCTCATGAAAACAATGTCAGTGCTGATGAGGGCCTCACAATGTGGCTGCCGTTGACTTTTTTATGCTGGAAAAACCCAGTTTTAGCATGGTCAAAATCTTACTAATAAACACGGGCATGGACACAGTGCTTTATTTATTCTCTGTTGCAGTTAATAAGATAAGTTTTTTTACATTTCCTTCAGTATTATTGCAAACAATTTTGCAGTTTGTCGATTGATGAACAGTCTATATAAAATATACCCAAGATTTCTAAATAATTTTCAACAGGACTCATCTACATCCTATCTTTGAAAAATTGAAGTTTTTTTTCCCTGTTGATGCTTAATAGCCCCTAACATATATTTGTAACAGTATATGTGTAAACGTGAACTTGACCTTGCTCATTTTCAATTTATGGCGACTGAATTGTTCAAATGGTAAAAGCCCTGTGAGGGATGATTTAATAGTGAGTGTACCCTAAGTACGGGTCAAGATCAGAGTCAAGTTTTTTTGGCTCTGTCTTGTGGAGTGCAGACTCCACCGAGAGTAATTATTTGTGGAGGGTTTAGGGCCCTGGGGGTGACGGAGTGGGCGGGAGGGGCACAGGGTGCGCTGAAACGGAAAGCACGCCAGTCCCACTCACGGTTGATGCTCAGTGAATCTGAAAGGTCATGTCATGTTTTCTGGCAATTGACTCGATTGGTTTGGATTCTACAACATAAGGCTGGGACAGTGTTGTGTGTATGTGTGTGTGTTTTTTGTGTATGTGTGTGTGTTTCTGCACGTTTGCTGGGAAATGTGCCCCTGGGTTATTTTTTGCATTGACCTTATTACCCTGCGCAGTGACGAGCTCGCCACATAACTTGCTCCCTCTGACTCTTTAACACACAAACACAACTAAATGCAGATACTCGTTAATTTATTAACATCCGTTAAAAAGCCGTTTAAATATCTGCAGAATATACTAGGAATATTTACATTAACACAAGGCTTATGTTATGCGCATGACCTGTGATGCTCTGTCAACCTTTACAGTATTATATTTAGATATCTAACTACATTGTTCGCTGTTTATCAAAAATCTAATCAATAAACCAGTGCAAAAAAAATAACGAAGCTGTATGTTTTAATCACAATTCCCCCAAAGAGCAGAGAAGGTAATACAAATTAGCACAAGAAATTATAAAAGATCACAATCATCAAAAAAAAAATACAGCCTACAACAAGATGCTAACTCAGAGATACTGCGATTGTGTGCTGCGGTCTTTAAGGATGTATCCACTGATAGGGCTTCTGCCTTGCAGCCATTCTGTGCAAGTAATTTACTAGAACAATGTAATCTTAACCTCTCGCCTTTATTCATCATCTGGGAGGCTCAACAGCCCTGCTACAAATATAGAAACACCAGGAGCAACAGAAGGATTTCTGTGTATGGTCAGAGATGCTCCTCTAAATGCTTTACAACTTAAAATATCATGTTGATTTCAGTATCGAGTGTTTAAAATTTTTAGATAATGAACTAGGTATTTTGGTGTTGCTCATGTTCACAAGGATTTAAATTCTTGATTTATATTTGAGTTAAAAACATATGATGAAGGCACCAAAATTGAATTGAATTTGTCCTCTAGGCGATAACACGCTACATGCAGTTTTACCAGTAAATCCTTTGCCAGCCTTCACTCTGCCATGCCTACGCGGTTGACTCCTGCACTCCAGCGGATCGGTGGCAGAGGTCCAGAGTCACTTAGATCATTTTACCCGGGGCACAAAGGGGGCACAGAGGAGCCACTGACCCTGCACTCGTCAGGCAGGGCTTTACGCCTCGCTGACTTCCCTGGTGTGACATTTCTCCTGTATTTGCCCCCTCCCAACGCCTCCCTATGTAACCACCACTGCAGTGCAAAAACGGGATCATTGTCTGTAGCGATATCAATCAAATGAACAGCATCTGGGGTCAATCTGCTGTCAGTGCTCCCTCTTTGCTGTCCTGGCTCTCATGTAAAGTGACAATAATGACAGATTGTCAGAAATGCTGCCAAATGCATCCAGTTAACGCAAGACGACACTTTGAATCCCATTCATCTCGAACAGAAACGTAGTACCTGTCTCCCTCCCATTACCCATCAGCAGAACTTAACATGTATGTGCGGATTCAAGCCACCTCCCCCCAACAAACACACCCCCTGCTAAGGGTCATACAATGGTCATGACATTATAAAAGGATCAATTGTGCCTTAAAACGCTGCCTCTCCTCCATGGGGATATGAGGAGAACAGATGGGACTTATGTAGAGCGGCTTTAATATCTATTTAAAGAGCTTTAGAGACAATGATCTAATGAGACATTTACATTTTGCTCAGCTGGGTTGAGAAAGCTTTGACCAAAGATGCTGTCATCTGATATTATGAACAAACACACATTCACCGTATATGTTAAAGTTCAGATAGAGGTCATTTCTGCGATATTAGATATTTTTCTGTGTCCTTACAAACTTACGATAAGACGCCAATTATTTTACTCTCTAAATACCAAGTGTTGTTC